ATATAAGGTATATTTTAATGACACGTTATTTTGTACGTTGGTATCTGTCGTGAACTTCTATTGCTTCATCTATTGCATATAGTATTTTAATTAAGAGTGTTAAGTAAAAGCGATAATATAAGTTTAAAAGAGAGGTATGGCAACATACCTCTCTTTTGTTTGTGGAAGTTCTTTTGTAATTTTTTGTAGTTAGCTATGCTATTTATCCCTTTTGGTTGGTGTCATAAGTATGGTTAGCTTGTGAAGTTTCTCTCTGATTGAAAATTACGTTTATACTATTAAAACAGTAAACCCAAGTTGCTGTTTAAGCTTTGACCTGTAAAATCTTAGAATCAGTGTGTTTGCTTCGCCATAAATAGGCGAAGTAAATTTTGTCAATTGTTTATTTTGTAACTTGTAGTTGAAAGTCAAATAAAACTTTAATTGGTTACATTATTGTGTGTATACTATATTGGTATTCTGCCTGGTATTGACAAATAAAAACAGGACGAGAATTTGGCAGTGCGGGAAATTAGATTGTATAATGTTAAGCAAAATTGAGCTTAACCGTATATTTAATGGTATGTCCACGCAAATCTTCCTATCTATATACTAAGTTCTCGCTCTGATGACAATCAATATGTACAAAATAATAGATGTAAAATTCAGAAGAAAAGTTATTTTCCTCCTCATTCTGTGTTACACATAAAGCCAGAATATAAAACTTAAAAGTTAAATAAAATAAAAGATTGATTTTCTTCTCGACGACGACATAAACAATTAGGCGATCTGTCTTGGAGTATGCGTTGTACACCCGAACGATACCCGAATAGTTCTAGTAAGCCGGACGGGTGTCCGGATCCGCTCTCACCTATCACCTGTCTTGGAATATATGACAAATAACAAAAATACAGGGTGGTCATAAAATAATTTCTCCGTTGCATGAATCCTTGCGGCTTTATATCAATCAATGTGATATTTCAGATAGTGTTATCTGAATGTATGAGCTCGAGATTGTGATTATTTAAAAGAATAGAGTTCTCACGGTTACGGTTACAGTGAAAACATTTCGAAATTTTTGAATTTCAATATCCATCCAAGTTTTTCCTGCGCAAACTGATCACCCCACTAGAAACCCATAAATGGTGTTAGAACGATACACATATGACCAAAACTGCCAGCGTAAAACATTTGCAAAGAAGAGCATTGTAAAGGACCACTGAAAACACAAGAGAGGGGAGACTGAAAAAAAACCTTTTATTGGAATTACAAGTTCAGCGTGCCCCCCTCACTGAAGATAACGCAATGCATGCGGAATAGTGTTGAAAACAATAACAAACGTAAGAACTCAGGAAGGATTTTCTATAACTTCACGTTTTATGGCATCATTCAATTCTGACCAATCTCATGAATTTGATCTGTACAACTTAGATTTCAGATAACCCCAGAACCAGGAGATAGAATCACCGTCCTATAACTTCGCAGCTTCGTGGTCACCGCGATCCTACGATCTCACTCCGATGGATTTCTGGTTCTGGTGTTAACTGAAATTTAAGGTGTACACACATTCGAAAATTTCCAATTTCTACAATGAAAAGTTTGAATTTTTTTCACTGTCACAGTAACCGTGAGAGCTATATTGTTTCAAGTAATCACAATCTTCAGCGTATATTTTCTAATAACAATATCTGAAATTTCTTTTCAATTGGATGAGCAGATAGGCCGTTAGAAATTCGTACATCGGGGATGTTTTTTATGACTACCCTGTATTTCTTAAAAATCTCCAATGGCAAACGGGAAACGATGCGACCACCATCGAATACAGACTAGCACTAAGTTTTCTAGTTAGCATATTGGCCATTAAATATACTAAGGCAGTGAACTTAAACAGGAGGCGCCGAGGAGCGCATGCGACCGCGAATACTTTCCCATAAATTAATTAGCATATTGTGACATTAATCATTACGGAAGAATTTGAACAAAGGTTTAAGATCTTAATGATTTTGACTCCAACTTTACATTATTTTCATTACCATTAAATACAAACGTAAGTAATGTCCCAGAAAATCTACAAATGAAGCACTAATAATTTAGATTGTGATATAAATCTCACTCTAATATTTGAAGATACAGGAAGAGCGTTTTCGCACTTGTCAAAAATTTATCCTCAGTTATGAATTTTTACAATAAGAAAACTCGCTTTGTTTTGGAATACATTCATACTTGAAAAATCTTTTCCCCGCAGTTGAAAATTAAAAAAGCTTAAAAAAAGAAGCATATTCATCGATGAGTATCTATAATTCATTATAAAGTTAGTTTCTAGTAATTTTTCTGCAAGATTCCATTTTTATCAAAATCGAAATGCATGAATTGTTGTAGCTGAAAGATGTAGCAATACATAAACAAATGTATAATTAGATATAAATATATGCAATTTTTCTGTACGCATCGAAGAAAAATTTATTAAATATGAGAAAGGCAATAGGCTGTCATTATTTATTAAGTTTCGTTCCACTTAAAAAATTTTCGCGATTTGTATATTTTAAATTTAAGACAGTCATATTATGATTAATACAATTCATTAATTTATTTTATTAGAATTAGAATTATTTGAAATAAATATCAGTTTGAAAATTTAATATTTAGCTACCAATACATTTTCATTACAAAGTGTAACCAAAGTAATTTTTTTGCAGATACCAACCTTTATATTTTAAAAAGAAAATAAATGTAAATTGGAATTTTTTTCCTTTGTGTCATTATTGTTATTGTTTATACAGTTTCTGATAAATATTTTGTAAATAATATTGAAAACAGGAATAAGCTTTTTAAGCCTTTTCATTTTGGTAAAAACCAATCGGCCCGTCAGCTGCTCAGATTGTGCATTCGGCCCGCATGGAGTTTTTGTTTAAGATCACTGCGCTAAGGAATGGGTTGCAGTTAACTAGATTTGGAATTTTTATAACGTGATCTAATTTATATAACCTTCTAGTCTGAGTGAATGCGTGTAGCTTGAGAAAAGAGGAACCTAGAATAGTGAATAAAGTAAACGTAACGGTTAACAGAACTTATCTCACCCTTACATAGTAGTTATCTCATATTTATAAGGTCTTCGAAGAAGGTGGCAACAGAATTTTAAGCATTGAAATTATTAAATATAGAACAGAATTTTAAGCATTGAAATTATTAAATATAGTTTTAAAGTTTTTATAATAAAAGAAAAGATTTTATAAAATCAGACACCATCGCGATTGAAATTCTCTAATTATAAAATTAAATTTTTTATAACATCCTGTGAGAAAATATACAAGTTAGTGAAGTATATACATGAATATTTAAAGGCAAAAATTTTCCATACTTTCCTATGCAAAATTAGCCCAAATATGCTTAACGCATTCTTTGCCAGAAGCCACAATTTCAAATGAGGAATAAGAAAGATCATTTACGTGTCAATTATCGAACTAAATCTGGTTTTGCAGAGGAAATTTAGGCAGTGGTTAAATATTTTTTAATAATTACATATTTTCCTTCTAGAAGAACAGATAAAAAGTTAAATTTTTATTTTACAAAGTGTTCTATCTTTAGCGCTGAAACAATTAAAAAAAATTCGCTTTTTTGTATTCAAAAATTTTATAAATACAACTATATGTCAAGATTCAATATTTTAAGGAAATAAAGCTGTTTTCGAGCATTCTGTACATAATTGTTTCATAATTAGTTCATAACGCTCTTTTTCAGCGAAGAGATTGCCGGCTGTTCTGTTGCAAAGAAGATAATGTCAGTACTTTGTTATATATATTCATGCTCTTGGTGTTTTAGAAATTTTTCAGTCAGATGCGAATCTTTGAATCATCGTCAGGTTTTAACAGTTAGACGAAATCAGAAATTCACGAGTCACGTGAAAGTTTGGACAGTTGAAAGCTGATATTCACAAAATGTCATGATATCCTGAAAAACCCAAGAAAATGATCGTAGAAATACGCATATTAATTTTGACAAAATTAAACTTCTTGATACAGCAGTTACCAATAATAAGACAAAGTAATGCTTCTTTAATATTTTAAATGTATTAACTACCAGGAACTGGAATTGTGAGGTTCTTAGTTGAGGAAAATAACTGTGTGCAGTTTAATAGCAAGCCAATAAAGACGTTAAACGCAATAATTAGATAAACAAATAAAAAGATAATAAGAAAAGATAAACAAATCATTATAGCTGTCTGAATTTTCATGGGAGCTCATTCCAGCTTTGTCAAATATTTGCTGTTACAGTTCTAAATGCTTTAGAAGCTGTAGTGCTTGATGCGAAAATTAGGATGTTTCCACTAAAGAAGATAGGGGGAGCAGGTTTTTCCATCCCCCGTCGAAAAGGAATGGAATTTCCCTCGTTCAAGATATTGTCGAAGAAGAAAGCTAATGGAAATCACTTCATTTACGAGACTGCTAAGCAGGAAACTTCCTACTCTTTTCTTTGGATGAAGCATTTCACACGGCAGACTTTACTGCATTCATCAGAGCAAGAGCAATGCTGTGAGAAAGTTGGACTGAGATTCAGCGAAGCTATAATCGACAATGAATTTTTGATAATGATTACTCGGAATGTCTTTATTTGTTTATCATAAATTATTATTGATTATTATTGAAAGACACCGGCATTGCCAGAGAAGAAAAACTACAGAATTCTCTTCTCGTTTAATAATAGAACTGGCTAAGCAATATTAGAAACACTGTTTTCAGTATTTTCAATTAGAAAAATGAAAAGTTACATATAAGGTTAAACAAAAGTAAATATACCACCCTCGTATTTTCATTTCACATACAGTTAAATTTAAGGACACTTTTTGCTTCAAAATCCTTTCATAGGGAATAAAATTCATCCTTTTTCGTTGCATTTAAACTACATGGCGAAAATATACTGTTCAAGCAATTGTCCTTTTAGTTTGCAGAAAGAAAGCGCATTATCTAAGTTATTCGCATGAAACATTACAGATTCAAATACGAAGATGTTTAACGCATACCCACACGTGATATTGAGCAATCTGATGTCTTCCACATGACTGTCGTACAGCTTCGGATTCTCAGCTCTGCAGGCCAAAGGAGTCTTGTGGTATTGGACTTTGGGTTGGAGGCGGAGGACAGAGGAGGTGACATTGTCATGGACGGTTTCGATGTGGTCGGTGAGACGAGTACCATTCAACCACCACGTGATCTTCGCAGAGGGTCGCGATCCAACTGATTCACAGGTGACATCTACAGGTTTACCGGCAGAGAGAGCCATAGGTTTGCTAGTTATCTTAACTGACACCGGGTACACTGAAAATAAATAATAGTTTTTTCAATAAATATTATGAACAGAAAACATTAACTGTACTCCTAGATTTAAATATTTATTCATATCAAAGATATAAAGTATTTCTTAATTACCAGCGTCTTAGAAAGCACTGATGATTTATTCAAGAAAATTAAATTTTCATCTGCAAATTGTATGTAGTGGATAAAGACATATAAGTAAATTTAAAATGTGCAAAATGACTTTCATGTATCTAACTAAATAAAACTTGGATTTCCAGGGAGTTAGATTCTGGCTTCAGAATGCCTAAATCTGACTGATTTCTGTATGGATGAATGCAAAAATACTTATATTTGAAAACTGATTTTGCAACATAGTAAACTATTAAATTTCTCAAAACTCTTATATAATACATTACATTTGAAGTTAAAACAAGCGAAAAAAGTAACAGAATATACTAATACTGATGAAATGGTAATGGTTAGGGAGAAAATTCAGCACAGAGTGAAAAACTGCGAAATAATTCTTCTTTTCAAAGCGTAAATTCATAATTTATATTACCAAAATCTGTTGACAGGGACATTTTGCACTCAGATGATAGAACTTCTGTTTATTTTTTAGTTATTTCTGATCTCACATGGTGAGACATGGTCACCTGTGATTATTTGCAGTATGTTCCGTAACAGTCATTTGTATGAAACTACTTTAATTGAGGACGTAAGATATTTTCGCAATGCTCCTTCAGTACTAAAAAAAAATAAGTTACTCAAGATATTTATTCATTATTTTTGCACAGTCAAATAGAAGGCTATCGAAATTAAATTTTAAAGCATATTGTAACGTTTGTGCTTTATAAAACAGTGCAACATCTACTTTGATTTTATAGTTATTATATATAATTTAGCATTTACAATTTGCTCCCATGTTATTTGAGAGAGGTCTGAGAAGAGGTCAAAGGGAAATGTTTCGTATTTATTTCAAGAACGGTTATGCGATACATTATATTCATCTTGAATTTGGTGAAAGAATTGTGTCTTGACAGACTATTTCGCTCAGAGCAAAATGGTTTGTTAAGGCATCAAATTCTTTCTGTTCAAATTCGGGAAGTGATTTAAAAAACATTCCAGATTTTCCTCTCAAAAACCTGATAAATAACAGAATTCTGATCAGTCAAAATAACGTGACCAATGTTTTCTCGGTTAACTGAATTAGGACAAAATGGATGACCGCAATCGCTTAAGGAAAAGTTTACAAAAATTCAATTTTTTTTTTTTTTTTTTTTTTTTTTTTTTTTTTTTTTTTTTTTTTTTTTCTTTTTTTTTTTTTTTTTTTTTTTTTTTTTTTTTTTTGTTTTTTTTTTTTTTTTCGTACGATTTAGTGTACCTTTTACATTATTTTCAGCCTTAGTGAATTTATTTTGTGAAACAGAGGATAATATTTTCTTGCATATCTTTGAATGCTAAAATGTAATAGATTTGAAAAATAAAAAAGTATATATTGTTACGAATTTGCTATTTAAAAAGCTAATGTTAGTTCAATTATAAATTAAATGGTTTTATTTCTCGCGCAGTGCAGCGCGTGACGAATATTAAAAGAAAGCTAAGCCGGAAAATTGAAAATACAAGAGCGCGTGCATTAAATAAATAAATATATCTCTTTTTTTTTGATTGATTTCGAGAAAGTACTGGAAAATTCTAGCGCGCGTGATTTTAAAAAAATCTTATAAAAAGGAGGAAAACATCTCAGTTCGTAGTAGTTGCTGCTTAGTTTGTTGTTGTTTAGAAAACTGCTCTTGTTGATTGTAGCGAATTCGCGGATTAGCTTTCTTTTAATATTCGTTTAATATTCGAACTAACATTAGCTTTTTAAATAGCAAATTCGTAACAATATATTGCATTGTTGTAATTCATTATGCACGAGTTGTCTAAAATTTGAATTAAAACAAAAATGAAAAAGCATCAAACACAAAGCGTTTTGCATCATTAGAAACGTTCAATCGCAGACATATATTTCCAGCTACTAAAATGTGTTAAATGACTCAAATATTCAAGTTTTAGCAGTTTGAAATTTAAAAAAATCAATTTTATAAAAATTATGAAATCTGATTACTTAATTTTAGGAAGTAAAGTAAATAGGATTTAGGATTTAGGATTTAGGAACGGGGAAGACGGGCACCACGCCTTTACCATTTGGTTAATTGGTTTAGCGCCGTCTCCCCACTACGTGATCCCAGCCGTTTATTGATATTAGCAAACATATACATAATTTGAAATGAATACAAAATTTGCAATGATACATAGTTGAAATGAATACATAATTTGCAATGATACACAGTTTGGAAGGTAAAAAAAAAGTAAAAAAATAAAAAAAATGCATATGAACAGTAGGAGAGTATGGAACAAACAAACAAGTCATCTGTAAAAATACTAGGCTCAAATATGCAATAGTTAAACAAAAACATATACAAAGACAGAAAGTTGCATACAAAATAAAGAAGAATTTGCGGAAAAAGCTATACTTGCTGACTGAAACTATCCATATTGTCAACAATAACTATAGTACCGACAGAACTATATTACTGACTGAATGCGATATTTGCAGATCGACTAGAATTATTTACTGATAATGCTCGTGTACTAAATAAAAAGTAGACAGATTCTTACAACATGAGACAGATTTCAATGTAATTAGATTAACATGATGCCATCAAATAAACATTTACAATTTCTGTTACAGTACAAAGGCTCACTATACATTACAATAGAACATACCAACATAATTTACTAATAATACTATACTGAATGAAGATACTTGTAAGCAGGATACAATGATTAAGATAATGATTGTCTTATAGACAATCAACTTAAGAAAAACATACTATCGATAGAAGAGTACAGTACAATCAAACCAACGTGAGAACTATGTAAAGGCATAGCTTAAATATATATATATATATATATATATATATATGTATGTATATAAATAGATAAATAAAAATAAAAATAAAAATTTCTAACAAACCTGAAAAGGTGATAGATGGAGTTCGATACACACAAACTAACGTGATGCAGTCAAACTTATATTTCATTTGTTATTAACAGTCTAGCTACAAAAAGCAGATAGTACATGGTTAATATATTTCCTGAAAATCCTTTAGATTAAACTTGGCATAGGTCAAGCCCAATGCTGGAGACTTTCTCCATTACGCAATTTAGTTTGCGGATCAGGTGTCTTTGCTTAACTAAGAGTTTGCAAAATGCCTGACGATTTTGCGTAGGAAATCGTATGTGTAGGCCTTCTGTCAGGGGACAATTGGCTAAATAGTAATAGTGCTCCGGAGAGCCGAGTTCACCACAACTGCAGACATTGGTATCACTTATGCCAAAGCGTGCGAAGAATTCAGGAAAAGGTCCATGCCCCGAAATGTAACGGGAAAAGATGGGCATTGCCACAGCAGCGATCTGTCGACACATATGAAAGATGGTAGAAGTAGAAAGTACGTCGACCGGTGAAGCTATTGTCCCATTCCTCTTGCCACTTACTAATTTCTCGCTCGAAGACGTAAAGTTCGCTTGAGAAAAGAATGTGGCCAAGGAATGGATATATTCTCATCAGCATCACCAGAAGCCGCCTCCTTGGCATAGGCATCTGCAAGTTCGTTACCATATTCTCCCACATGCGCTTAATTTAACCCAAGCAAAATATGAATAGTGAAAGACGGAGAAGCACGTAAGTCCTGTTGAATGTCTCGTATAATTGGAGAGGAATGCTCAGGATTGCCAATGGCGTGGATGACAGAAAGGCTATCAGAATTGATTGTCGCTTGTGTTATATTCTGAGTCAGCAAGTAGCGGATAGCGCGTGCTATCGCCACTGCTTCCCCTTGAAAAACACTATTCTGCATAGATAAATGTCCCTTCCAGTGGGCTAGAGGAAGATTATCACGAAAAGCAACAAAAGCGCTTCCTACGTTATCATCTATCTTTGATCCATCAGTATATATCACGTGGCTTGAAGAATTACGAAACACTGATGGTGGAATATGGAGCCTAACTCCAACCCCATAGTCTGCTGGATGAATACTAAAAGGTTTCAGTTTTGCTTCATAGTCATCAGGCAAATAATGTTCTCCTCCATCAAATGTGATAGGCCTGCGTAGTTGCACAAGTAACTGACGAACAGCCTCTTCCTCAGTTCTAATATGAAGAGGGAGTAGACCGGCTAGAACATTTAGTGAGTCCGAAGAAGTTGTAATATATGCCCGAGTTATACTCAGGGCAAAAGGGCGTTGGATGGTTGAAAGATGTTTGACTTTTCTCCCCCCTGCATGGGGAGTGTGCCCAAACAGCAGCGGCGTAAGTAACAATCTTTTCTGTGACAGTAGTATATAGAATTTTTTGGATATGGTGGTTTAATCCCCACCGATATCCCTGAAGATAACGAAGCTGTTTGGCAATCATCTGTGTTCGTTTTTTAATGGACAGAATATGTGGGATCCAGGTTAACTTATCATCAATGATAACTCCCAAATATTTGATTTCTCTGAGGATTTGCAACCTGTGGCTATTGAGGACAATTCTTGGTCGCCTGACCAAGGAACCTCCTTTCTTAGGTACAAGAAGTACCTTGGATTTGTTTTCAGCAATAATCAATTTCAGATCATCACAATGCTGTTGAAAGAGTTGAAGAGACTCATTGCAATTTTGCTGTAAAACTTCGCGAGAATGTCCCCGGATAACAAGAGCCACATCATCGGCATACGCATATATATGCGTATGATCAGGCCAGGGAGCTTGAAGGATCTTATTAAAAGTGAGGTTCCAGAGTTGAGGACCTGCGCAAGAACCTTGCGGGCATCCTCTTGTCTGTACTTTTTCGATAATTCCCGCTGGATGTACTGCAATAAGACGTCTGTCTTGCAAATAGTGTTCTAAAACTTTATAAATATTACTCGGACAATTGGAGTTTACCAGAGCTTGCTTAATAGCTACCCACCACCAAACTGTCGAATGCGCTTTTAAGA